GAGCGCTTCTGCGACTGGGAAAACCCGTGCAGCTTGAGACAGCCCACTACCCTGGTCTGCTTGTGTGGCCACATCCACTGCTGTGGAGGTGAACAAATTATTAGGTTCATGCAGAAGAAACGCTTTGAAGAAATGCAAAGTTTTAACACTAGGTCCGTTCTACATAGAGGAAACAGACATAGGAGCATTGCCAAGGTCTGGCACTAAAATCAGGGCTAAGACAAGGAAAAGCCCTCCTCCATCTGCAAAGTGGGGAGACTACAGCTCATCTGGGAAGCTAAAGAAACAAATTAAGAATGCCTCTAACTTCTTTCCTTAAAGGGTGAATAACTATTTTCTGCCTCCGGATTCTGAGTAAAACAAAGAGAACTGGGTAAAAGGGAAAGAAGAATTCTTTTTTTTTTTTTTTTGGTAAAAGCATATGCGGCTTTCCACTAAAATTCAAAGAGGAAATTCTTATACACAGTAAACAGGCTGGGATTAGGTGATATTTAATGGAACTAGTTCCTTCTGAAGAAAAATGTGGACTAAAAAGATAGTGTACAATAGAGCACTAGAACTTATATACTCAGCTGGCGATGATGGATGAATTGTCTAATAATCACGCCTAAAATCCTGGGTCTGCTGAAGTTAATGACTTGCAGTGACTTTTGTGTGGTATTTCAGACCGATTTGTAGGGAAAAAAAAAAAAATATACTCATGATACTATGTATCTAATTATCTTGTAATACATTACGTAATTGGGGATGGGTATAACGTCAGTTAAACTGCCTCCACTTCTCAGGGTGACATGATGTCAAACAGGCAAAATATACAAACTTCCTGTATTCCTAGCTTGTTTCTCTAGGAGCATGGGGGTACATTCTTCCACATTTGAGTAGCTTTTATTCTCCACATAACATCAGTTCAATGTCAACAGCAGAAAGACAAGTTTGAGAAAAGAACTGAACTAACAAATCTTTTCACAATACTGGCAGAATACAATACCTTGCCATGGTGAGAGGGAAAATTTTCCATCATGGAGCGAGCACAAATAGCTGTCTGTGCAACACTTAGGGCTTCTTGCACAACTTTCTTCTAAAACGAAGTAAATGAAAAGACTCGCAAGCACATCCCAGAGAAATGAGCCAGTATGGGGAATTCTTCCCATCCTTCCAGTTTGTCTCTGCTCTGTTCTGGGGGCCTGAACTTCAAATGCATGTTGTTACAGTTTCAGGAAAATACCCTGCTTGACTGAAATCAAAGGCAGATATCGGATTTTAAATTTACTACAGTGGCAGCTATCGTATCTATTTCATTGACAAAGGTTGTAAAATCAAATGTCATATCAAGAAGTGTGGCTGAGGACAACTAGCAGCAACAGAAGGAATTTACTGCCTGTATGAGATTAACAATACAGCTCCTTCAGAAAGGATCCATCAAATGACATAATGCAGAAGAAAAGAAACTGTCATAGAAGTTTCATCAAACAAGGTGTGTTGCTATTTACCTACTCTGCCTCACTGCTGCATTCATTTCCTTCTACATCTGAAGCACTTTCTTTTAATATTTAGGTTATAAAACAACCTCATCTGTCACAGCTGCTATTTTATCTTTAGCGAAAGGCTAGAAGCTAAATGTCATACTTAAAATACTCATTTCTTCTTGGAAACTATCATTTCAGATTCAGGAACCAGTTCTGCTGTGCTGGCACAGCGTTTGCTATGACACTGCGGCACAGCAGTGAGGCCGGAGGCTCCCTGGCCAGGCAGAAGGGGTTGGCCGAAGCAATCGGACGGTACCCGGCAGAGACCTGGCTATCGACTTCCCGGCAACGGGACTTGCCAAGGAGGCATCATGAAAGGCAGGGGAGCAGCCAGAGAGCGCTCTGTCCTGGCAAATACCGGCCAGCCTCGCAGGCCCCAGCGCCTGCTGCAAGCTGATGCACTTCAGAGCAGCTCTGAGACTCACTCCGAGCGTTGCCAGCAGCCACCGCGGCCCCCATTTGGCCCGGGATCGGAGACAAGCAGCCAAAGAGGACAAAAACCTTTCGTGCCCTCCGTCCCACCGAAGCACGCCAAGCATGGCCCCAGCATGCCGGAGGAGGCAGCTTCGGGAGGTCTGACTCACACTCTCATCCTCACGGCAAATACGTTCTTTTCCCTGCACTTTGCTTCTTCTGGTCAGATCCTAGAAAACCAACCATGGGTGCTTCAGTGCATTCTGCACAGGTCAGAGATGTGCTGCAGCATCATCGCAGACCGTTTCCCTTTGCTTGTCTGTATTAGCCCCTGTGTCGCTGGGCTGCTGCCTCTTCGCCACTGAGAGCCACATCCCACGGCGCTCCCAGCTCCCCTGCCATGCTGCATGCAGCTGCAATTGTGCAGATTTTTCCACTTAAATCCAGAATCCACGTTCCAGGTTGCAGGCGACTGGCTTCCACAGAACCCACAAGGTTTAAGAGGTTATAAGATGCGGCATGAATTTAGGGGGTTACACTCTCTGCAATTTGGTTTGCGTACGGCATACCAAGAGGAAACTTTAGTTTGTTAACAGATGGCAGACACCGTTGTCCACGCTGGACAACATTAGCATCTTTTTCCCCAGGGCTGCAGTTCACTGGCAAGTAAGTATATTCTAAATAAATCTGACACCAAGGACTGGGACAAATGACTGACCACCAGATTCTCTCTTTTATCCAATTGTTTTCTTATCCTTACTGATCCTATTAGTAGAAAGGGAGAATTAACGGAATAATAAAGCTGCACAAGTAGTTTTTCTTGATGGAAGACATGTATTGCTTGCTCATTTCTTACAGCTTTTTCAGTTAATTAACAGTGCGAGTAACCAAAAAGCAGTTTACTGCTGAGGTACTAGAGCACTTCAGCATAAGAACTGAACAGTACTGCCTCCGCTTACTTGCTGTGATGGCATACTACTTTTGGCCTTTTCCCTGAAAGTGCTCAGTCATGAGATAATAACTGACACTCATCTCTCTCTGTCCTGGTTTAAACAGTGACCATCACTTGCAGTTCCCCTTTCCCTTCCGAAAACAGTCTTCATCTGTGTCCTGTACCATGCTGGAGATTTCTAGAAAGGAAGGACAGCATTTTCTCCTCCTTCAGCCTGTTTGCCATTTGCATCTGATAACATCTTGGTCCTGGTCTTTGTTTACTCCAAGTCTCGTGCTCACGGCTTTACTTATTTTTGACAGACCAAAGGTGGCTTCAATGGGGAGATAAATCCCTTTCTACAAGGAGCCTCCAGCTGAGCGCTATTCGCATTTCACATCTCCACACCAATCCCTGTTTTAGTCTGTGACGTAGCTGACAGATGAGGGATGGCTAAACCTCGTGCTCTATCAGTTGGTTTTGACGGCGGGCCCAGGAGGGGATGCCAGGAAGCAAAATGCAGAATCCTTGCACTGATCCTGGGCTAAACCGTTTGCCCCAGGGCCTCTGAGTGCCACAGCTGCAAAGCTTTCTTAAAGCTATTTTTGGCTGCCGGTTCTCCTACCTCTGCCATAAACGCAGGAAGGGAGACACTGAGAAACAGAGCCACTCAGTACGCTCAGTTTTGCTTTTCTGCGATTGCAAAGTGCAGCACCAGGCTCTGCAAGAGGGCCAGCAGCGAGCTTTGCGCAACTTTCAGCGCTGACAGCCAAGCCGAAACTTGAAGGCAAAGGGGAGTACTTAGAGCTCTATCCTCAGGACAGAAATCTTGGTTTTATTCTTAAGCCGTTCAAAAGACCCAGGGAGCCATGAGAAGGGGCCAGGAAAACCTCTAGCTCCTTTGTTTTCTCTAAAAGTCCTGCCTTTAATTAAAAAGTGAGCATGTACTGTCCGATTTTTTTTTTTTTTTGGTCAATTTAACAAGGAAACAAAA